TTTTTTTTGCAATGAGTCATTTGTTTTTATTCTAAAATATCTGAATTACTTTGAATAAAGCTGGAAATTATGTTCCTTAAAATAATTAAACAAATAAGGCACCAATGTTTTTGTAAGATATTTACATCTTTTAAGGACATTCGTTAGACTGATTCCCCACTGTTGGTTCAACCCCAAAACTTGTTTGTATTCAAAATTAATTATGACAATGCATATTTATATTGAAACAAACTATGATAAAGGGAATTATATTATATAACAAAGGGCAAGGTCACCAGAGTTCAACTATGTTTACATATTTTATGTGCTTTGACAGTATATTGAAAATGAAATTCACATATGCTTTGCAAAGACTGTGTTTAATGTAACGGTAGTAAATAACGTACTTTAATGTTGAACTTGGCTCACTAGTAATAAATTTTAAAAAACACTTAAATTCTGCTGAGTGAAAGGACTCGGCAAATAGATGATATAGAGCAAACAATAGAAACAATAATTTTCTGATTTCCCAATTGTGTAAAGTTCTACATGTATCTAGAAGCTATTTTTTAATTTAAAAGTTACACAATAATGGTTCATCAATAAATATAGTTGGAAATCCACAGAATAGAACAGCCTTAGAATAATTTTAAGATTTTTTTTTTATTTTTAAAACCATCATTTATTCATCAATAACTTAGTTACATATATACATGTAGTACATTATTTCAAAATTCTAAATTTCATAAAATCGAAAAATTTACTGTCCAGTATCGAAAATTTATAATAAATGTTATAATAAACGAGTTTAAAAAATAATAATTTTAAGAAGTTTCAGGGAATTTCTGCCCCAACATTTGTTGACATTATTAATGTATTTATTTTTCACTCAGAGAGACAAGTGAAAATGGCTTTCATGAGTGGACCTGCCAAACCACCCAGAGAAGTACTTCGCAAGCAAGTGAAATTAGGAACTGCTGGTCCTATATCACAGCATAAAAGTCCAAGCAAACCACATCGTTCTAATACCATCACTATCAACCATTCTAGACCAAGCAGTTCCTCATCAAGTTCTTATTCCCAGAGTGGTAGTTCCTCTTACAGTGGAGGCTCATCAGGAAGCTCTTATTCTCACAGTGGGGGTGGTGATGCTCCTAGTAATAGCAGACCAGTCAAAAGTAAGTGGCCATTTTGCTCTTTAATGTACCATTGTCCCTATTTAATGCAGTACTATTTATTTTGGCTAATTTACACATTCAAATGAAATATTTAGTTACTAATCATAATGCTCATACCTGAATATTTTTTTCATTGTAGCTGTCAAAGTTGTGGCTCCAATGATGATGAAGTCACTGAAAATGATGAAAAGATTCAGAAGATAAAAGTCAGCTTATTAATATTCCAGTCTTATTTTAATGTTTATTTTATTTCAAAAACTTTTATTTTTCCAACCAGCAATAATGTCCTTCGCACATGTTCTTGTTACACTTACATCATCAATATGGATCTCAGAGAACAGTTTTTGACTGGATGACGTAATTGAAGACATTCTTTCTTGCTATTAATCTGATTTAAATCAGAAGTAGCTACATTGTAGAGGCCATAATCACTTTTAATATACAATCACTGGTTTTATAGCCTTTGCTGTACATACCTCTTAACTACATCTCACCAACTATCTACGCAAATCACATTCAAGTCTTGCCAGATCAGCAGCCAATCAAATATTGTGTTACAGAGTACTTACTAGAGTAGCATAACCTTTTTAGTAAGGTGTGTTCATATTGACTAATACAGTAAGGGGAGTGCTTCAGAATGTCTGATGTATTTAGAAGCAGGCCTACACCAGCAGCCATAAACTGGTGTTACAAAATATGAGCAACCAGAGCCTTAACCTATATACAGTGCTCAGTGGTGTGCATGTGTAAGGCTTGGATCAATTGTTTAGGCAGTTTTCAGTAATTCCATAATTGATGTATGTTGACTGCTTGGACAAATTCAGAAATACTTGTGATATTCACAAAAAGTTATGAAATTGAAGTTATTTTTCATCCTCCATTAAATCTGAATCAGTCAGTTTTCCATACTGTACTAAACAGACAATGAACTTACTTTATATATTGCAGAAGAAATACTGCACTTACCTGCACTTTATTTATTTCTTATTTCTCATGATATAGTACTGTAAAATATAAAATTTTTCACTGTGTTTTATGTTTGCTTATTGTGCTAAATACACGGAATTAATTAAAGCCAAAGTTAAAGATAGAATGAATGGTTGACTCGATGAATATTAATGCAAACTTTAAAACTAAACTAAATGAATATTTTTCTTTTCATGAAATTTAAAGCTTCTCCTGTTTGGTTCAGTGGAATCCTAATTTTTGTGAAATTCCCATGCTTATTAGTCCCCTGGCATGTGTGTGTGCATCCGGACCTGTATCTTAGACATGGCTGGTCCAATTACATTCAAACTTCACACATACATCATACATAATATTATACATATGCACATATGTTTGTTTAATTCAAGATGGCCGAATGGCTGCCATTTTGGTAATGAAAAATCATCAAAATCAAGCATTTCTTGGCTGTTTACAGATGGATTTTGTTCAAACTTGGTACATACATTGGACATTATGGGACCTTGTTTTTAAGATAAGATTCAAAATTTTGTTTTAATGAATGTGGTTTTTGTGCCATATCTCTGACATGCTTTGACTGATTACGTTCCATTTTTAAATATTCATTATACATCATTCTCATAAATATACATATTGCTTTGATGATTTGATTCAAAATGGCCTTTTTGTGCTAAAAAATCATCAAAATCATTTCTGGCATTCTGTAACTGGTTCTCGGTCGTGTATCAATGGATTTCGTTCAAAGTTAGTACATATATCAGACATTATGGGTTCCTGATGCACCTCATTTTGTTTTTCAGATTGTTCTCAATATGAACAAGTACTTGTACTACCGGGTACTATAAAATACTTAATTTTCGCTTGGAATTAATTTTTGCTATTTTAGCAGAAGGAATAAATAAAATCCAGCCTATATACCTTTTTCCCTATATTTTACTATCTATGGAGGTATAATATAGGGAATACCTCCATGATTTTACATTCAACTTGTCAAAAATCAGTGAAAATACATACAAAATACCCAATAAGTCTTTTCAGCAAAAATTAATTCCAGCTAATCTAAAGTATTCTACAGTATATTACAATAAACAAAACTATATAACATAGATTTGATAACTAACGTGGACTGTTCCATGCATGGCTTGTTTATTATTCTAATGATTGTTAATTTATGCTAATTCATGCAACAACCATTGCGGATTAATCCCTAAAGCCATAATAAAAGGTTTGTTTCTTGTTATTGTTGTTGTATTTCGGTAGGAAAATCGAAAAATTATGCGATAACTAAGATTATTCAAAACTTCAACAATAAAATTTATATTCAACATTTATTGAATTTATCTATTTATCAATTTGAATGTGTTTGACACGCACATCTCTTGAAACAGAAATAAATTTTCTCAGAATATGCGGATGGAATGAACATTTCCCTATTTCACTGGTACCGGGTTATATGTAAAATCCCGACCTATAAATACGTGTGAGGCACACAACTGACATGTGCAATGACATGGCGCATAACCATAGGAGCTCGTGTTGGTAGGGGGGTTGCAGCTAATATTGCAATAATCCAGTCTATTCTTCAAACAATGTATCAAATAAATTTTTTATTCCATCTTGGGCTGTTGAATATAAGAAACATTTGTCATTGAAGTTCATATATATGAAATTTAAATGGCGATCATATTTTATGTAAACATGTTTTTTTACGCTTACTTAATCGTCTGGGACCACAATCTCATGATTGGTCACTGTGCAGAGCAGATAGAGGGCGATTTCCCAATTGCATTAAACCCAACTCTTGTCATTTTGAATCTGCGATAGAAACATTCCATCATATCTCGTAATTTTGTTTGGTTACCAATGTTAAACAAATTATCTGTGGTGTTATGAATAATTCTAAAGTTCAAGTTATCCATGGAATAATATGTTCACATAGAATTCTATGGTAGATGGTCACTTTTTAGATTATTCTTGCATACGTTTTCTTGGAAACACAACATTCTTTCTCCGTGAAAACTTGAAATATGAATGAAGTGCATATATGTGAATCATCACACAACAATTTTTGAATGATTTACTATGATCATTTTTAGCCCCCGCCGGATCTGCGATCCGGGCGGGGGGTTTAATTTGGGTCGTGTCTGTGCAATGTGTGTGCACATTTTCATGTTACCAGCTTTTTCTCACACATGTGTGATCCAATTCAGTTCAGAGTTGGTACAGAGACAGAAATTGATGGTGATATTGTGCACATCAAGTTAATTTTTCGATTCTATAAAGTTTCACTGTGTTTTTCCTTGATTTTTAACATTTTTCCTTCAAAATCCGACTTTTCCCGAAATTACCCGAGTTTAATCCGAGTTTTGATGACGCTTATGCAGTTCTCGTTTCGGTGGAAATCAGTCAATTTTGTGAGGATATTGTATCCCGGAATTGTATCTTTATTTGCGCAACGCTTCTATGGACAAAATTGAGTCTCGTCAATTTCAAAGGTAAGAAACTGTGCTTGTTATGGTATTTATACACTTTGTATCATGGTTTGTGTCTCGGGTTTGGTGATCGTGAGAAACTATTGCTAACCTGGCGAGAGTTTCGCCAGAAAACTGCCTTT